AAAGGGGGAATAAATAAATGAACATTTAATGAGCATCTACTTCTACATCTGAGTGGGTTGGAATGGCCAGAGGAAGACTGGTTCTCCTGCCTAGAACCATCAGGAACACTGAATAATATACAGACACCATTTGTCTGAATGCAGGGAGAAGGTGCTGAGACGATGAAAAGGAGAGGTAGCTGAGTCTCAGAGAGATGAGGGAGTTAATGAAACCTCTTTTGTCCTGAGGGCATATGTTGATTCTGAGTTGGAGGGAGTGGGGTGGGAACTGAGAATCTAGGATTTGCACCTGCTAAGGCACTTGCAAGTGGACAGAAAAAACTAGCAAATCTTTTGGTGGAGACTTGGCAGGGCTTGGGTGGGTGCTCAGGCCGATTTCTCACTCAGCACATTTGCCAAATACTGGGGCTGCATGGAGCAGGGGGGCAAAAACACCCAAAGAGAAAGCCTCTGGGAGTGGAGTGTTCTAGCAGACTTGGGACAGAGTGGTTAGAGTTGGGATCGTTCAAGGGAAGGGGACGCTCACAATACACAGGGCCAGGAGCAACCCAGGGGCAGACTGAGCCTTAGCAGAACTGCAGTCCAGTCTTGGCTCCGCACAGCTCCTGGGTGGAAAAGGGTGATCTGCCAACATTCTATCTGCTTCATGCAGGGCAGGATGAACCCTCTCCAGAGGAAGCCAACACTAACTGGAGCCTCTACAATTTATTTAGGCACAATCAGCATCTTTCATTAAAATACTACCAGGTGAACCAAAAGGCAGGACCAACATGTCTGAAAACCAAATGAAGAAAAAGAATAGACACAAGGCCACAGGCGATCCAGGTGTTGAGGTTAGCAGGTAAGTACCTTAAAATAACTATGATTAATTTGTTCAAGAAAATAGATGAAAATATGGAGAACTTCTCCAGAGAATTAGAATCCATAAAAAAGCAACAGATGGAATTTGCAGACCTACTAACCAACCACTATGTCCAAATCACATGCCAGACATACGCTAGGTGCTTCACACACGCAATAGTACTTAATCATTTTAAAAACCACACGAGGTATATTTTACCGTCTCTATTTCACACGTGAGAGGGACAAGGGTCACTAATATGTGTGTGTCACACATCTCCCTTTTTGCCTTCTCTCCCACTCCACGTCTACTCATGAAAGGAGAAGCTTTGTGGTTCTGTTCTTGGATACTTTATATAGGCAGAGAGAGACAGGACCTCAGAGGGAGGGGACTGTGTCAGAGAGGCTCAGTCAGTCTACGAGAGAGACGAGGACAGTGGTGTCCCTGGAGTGGGGATGTAGAAAGAGCTTTAGTTTCTGTGTGCATGTGTGTGCGAAAGGCTCTTGGAACATCTCAGGTTAGATATAATTGAGGAGGGGAGAAAGAAAATTTGAGATCTATCATTGTGGGTAAAGAACCATTTCCTCTTTGGTGTTCTTTGGAAGCACATATAAGTTAATTTAAAAATTACTTTTAAAAAATATTTTTTATAGTCATTTTACAATGTTGTGTCAAATTCCAGTGTAGAGCACAATTTTTCAGTTATACATGAACATACATATATTCATTGTCACATTTTTTTCTCTGTGAGCTACCACAAGATCTTGTGTATATTTCCCTGTGCTATGCAGTATAATCTTGTTGATCTATTCTATGTTTTGAAATCCCAGTCTGTCCCTTCCCACCCCCGCCCCCTTGGCAACCACAAGTTTGTATTCTATGTCTATGAGTCTGTTTCTGTTTTGTATTTATGTTTTGTTTTGTTTTAGATTCCACATATGAGCGATCTCATATGGTATTTTTCTTTCTCTTTCTGGCTTACTTCACTTAGAATGACATTCTCCAGGAGCATCCAAGTTGCTGCAAATGGCGTTATGTTGTCGGTTTTTACGGCTGAGTAGTATTCCATTGTATAAATATACCACCTCTTCTTTATCCAGTTATCTGTCGATGGACATTTAGGCTGTTTCCATGTCTTGGCTATTGTAAATAGTGCTGCTATGAACATTGGGGTGCAGGTGTCATTTTGAAGTAGGGTTCCTTCTGGATATATGCCCAGGAGCGGGATTCCTGGGTCATACGGTAAGTCTATTCCTAGTCTTTTGAGGAATCTCCATACTGTTCTCCACAGTGGCTGCACCAAAATGCATTCCCACCAGCTGTGTAGGAGGGTTCGCTTTCCTCCACAGCCTCTCCAGCATTTGTCACTTGTGGACTTTTGAATGATGGCCATTCTGACTGGTGTGAGATGATACCTCATTATAGTTTTGATTTGCATTTCTCTGATAATTAGTGATATTGAGCATTTTTTCATGTGCTAAAAATTACTTTTTGTCATTTAGGTAGTGCTTCTGTATACATTATTTATGCAGAGACTAAACCACATGGAGCCACTAGATTTCTTAGGGTTACAAATAGATAAATACACTGATGCTTAGAGAGGTTAGGTATGTTGCCTAAAGTTCACACAATTGGGAAATAGTGAAGCTGTCAGGATCTAGGGCCATCTAAGCCTGAAGCTGATGCTTTTCATGAACAATACAAATTATACTTTACCAAGACAGATTAGAAAACTGCCTTGCCTTGACTCCCCAAAAAGAGAGATAACAAAGGGAGAATTTCTACTCTAAACCTAAATTTGACTAAGGTGGAGGAATTAGCTGGTAAAATGGAGACATGGTAGAAACTCTAGGAAAAGGCAACCAGGTTATCCCGGAATCTGGGTAGTCAAATTCATATCATAGACTTTAACTCAAATCATAGGATATATATTTAAAAAACTAATTAAAATATGCTTTTCTCTCAAAAGAAATAGAACATACAAAGGTCTAATGATAAATATAGGCATCCAGGAAGGCCTCATTGTAGAAGCCCCATCTGAGCTGAGTCTTTCAGAACGGGGTGGGATTTGAACAGATGGAGATAGGACAAAGGCCAAGTTGAATGTAAGTTCAAAGACTGGACGATTTAAAGTTTGTATGTTAATTTGGATGGACTATATGATACAGGGAGGGAAATAATGGGAGATAAGGCTGGAGTCTGAATACCTGAGTAAGGAATATAGACTTTAAAGTATAATTAATAGTAAGTCACAAAATAGGTTTAAGCTGAAGAGTGGCAGGTTCAGTGCTGTGTTTCAATAGGATTAGTCTGGTGGCAGTATGGAAAGTGGATTGGGAAGGGGAAACACTAAAGAGACTAAGACAAATTACGAGATTATCGCAGTATTAAAGGAAAGAGGTAAAAAGGGGCTTGAACTAGGAGAGTGATAATAAAAATGAAGAGGGCAAAACATACACAGTAGATGCTATGGGGTTAGAGCAGGCAAGCCTTGAGTCATGGAGTTCTGGCGTCACATATGTGATGGGGGATGCTCCAACAGGGTTAATCTGGTCTAATGCGCAGTGCAAGTCAGAAGAGGGAGCGATCAGAGATAGGGAAGCCAGTTGGGAGTTTACTGAAGAAGTCTTGGTAAGAACAAGCAGTGGGGATGGGAAGGAAAGGACAGTTACAATTCACATCATGAGAAAAAAATTGATATGACTTAGTGATGAAGTGGGTGTAAAGGCTGAGAAGGCTGAAAGTGACTGAGGTTTCAAGCCTGGGTGAGTAGACAATGGTGGTGCTGCTATTAACAGAAAGACAGAAGTCAGAATGAGAAATTAGCTGGAGGGGAACATCACACCATCATGAAGAGGAACAGAAGTCAAGAGATTCAAGCGGGGAGCTGATGACATATGACAAAGGTGTAGGAAAGAATACAGAACCAAGGAGGGAGTTAAGGAAGTGCTGAAAACTTGTAATAACAGGACCAAGAAGGTCTCTAAATAAGTCTTGTCACATAGTAAGGACTCCAAAAATATTTGTTGTTGAATGAATGAGCAGAAGCTTGTGAAGAATGCTTCCCTCCATAATGTTGGTGCTTAGAGATGTCATGTGAGAAGCAAGAAGGAAGAGCCATTCAAACACCATTTTGCTTCTCCCCCTTTCCCAGAAAAGGAGTGTTGGTCTTGGATCTGAATGAGGTGGAACAAACACAGAGTAGAGAGGACAGTAGCACAAGACGGGCAAGGAGCAAGTACCTAGTTATCAGTTTAAGTGAATTTGAGCCCAGGGAAGTACAGACGCGTGGGGTGGTACATGAAGGGAGAATGACCCTCACTGTGGTGGCCTGTGTTTACCTGGCTACACCTGGAGAAGGGCATTTAGCCAAGGAGTTCAAAGCATGAATTAATACAGGCAACTGAATTGCACTCAAATTCTGACTTGCCCACTTCAGTGGCTGTGTAACCTTTTGCAAGTTACTTGATTTCTCCAGACTTCAGTCTTCTTCATCTGTAAAAATGGGGACAACCATCTCTATCTCACATAATTATCTCGAGGATTAAATGAGGTAAAGTACTCAAAGAGCTTGGTTGAGTGACTAGCGCTTAGCAAGTGCTACAAAAAATGGGTTATCTATTAGTGATGGGTCAACTGCATCTTGTGAGTTTCCACATGAGAGGAGTGATCAAGAAGAGGTCTCTCTGGCCCCTAGCACAGTACCTGGCACACAGTGCTCAATAAATATTTGTTGAATAAATAACTATAGATTCTCAAACCCCGAGTTCAGAAGCAGAGAGACTCTGATCTTACCTAACATAAGCCAGACGGAAGAGAATACTCTTGCCCATCCTTATTGTGAACTATTATGGTTACACAGTATTCATTGTTTGGCTGAATTACTGTTCCCTTTACCTTTCCCCTATTTCAATTTTACCACTTCTCTATTTAACCATACCCTCCAATTTTTTTTTTTTTACCATTGTAAATAACACTGAGATAAGCATGCTGGTATATAGACCTTTGCTCCCATTTCTGATAGTTTTCTTGGGCTGTTATATTCTCAACATTGGAATTGAAGTGTTGAAGGGTGCCATTTTCCAGAAAATTTACACTCCATCTAGCAGCGTATTAAAATGCACGTGTTTAAAATATCACGTACTATAAGAATGTATTGGTGCTTACTTCAGCAGTGCGTGTACTAAAATGGAAATGACACAGAGAAGATTAGCATGGCCCCTGAGCAAGGATGACAGGCAGATTCGTGAAGCGTTCCGTATTTTTTGACACAACATTGCAAACTGACTATACTTCAATGAAAAAATAAATTAAAAATGTATTGAAGTCCCTTGAGAGAAATTTCTCCCGAGGGGCTCCCCAAGACCCTGAGGGATTAAGCAGAATTGGGCATAGGAAATGGAACCGCTGGGCTTTAGCAGTGAGGAGGTATCTATGGTCTCTGCTCTGTAAAGACAGATGCGTGTTCTTCAGATAGGAAACAGGAACTCAGTGGGCGGCGTCTGGGCTAAAAGGGAGTGTGGGCTTTGAAACAGGAAAAAAGAAGTCTGTTTCTGATAGTGAAAGAGATGCATTACCGTGCTGCCCTGATCTCCCATATCCTACCGGGTCAAACTGTTATTCCACACCCAGTTAGCACTTATACAATCTTTGGATTGTATTTGCAGGTGTTTTATTTTGCATTTAAACATTTGTGTTTTATTTATTTTTTATTTTTAATTTTTTATATTTTTTTAATTAAAAAATTTTTTTAATAAACATTTGTGTTTTAATACACTGCTAGATGGAGTGTAAATTTTCTGTTTCATGTATAAGCTCTTTTAGTTTTTCCATTTCAGGAAATGCTAAATCAGAAATCAGGCCATTATTTGATACGTTCCTCTTCCTCACTCCCTACCGTCCAATCCTTCAAGTTCTTTCTCTAAAACATGTGTTTTACTTTTCTCATCTTGACTTCCCACATCCAAGTCCAAGCCACAACCATCTCTTGTCTAGACTCCTGTAAGTGCCCTCCTACCTCATTTTTCTTGTTTTCATTCTTGCGTCTGAAAGTTCATTTCCAAATATTGGCACAATTACTAGCTTCAAAACTTAAATGGATGATGTCCTTTCTAACGATTTCTTTCTGTACTTAATGTCCAATAGTCCTTAATGTGGCCTACAAAGCTTTGTGTGATTCGACCCCTGCTCACTTTTGGCTCCCCATCTTTTGGCTCTCTTTCCTGGCTTTTTTTGTTTCAGTCACAATGGTCCTTCCATTCTTTTTTAATTTTTTATTATTTCTTTTAGAATTTTTTTTGGTGGGGGGAGGTAATTAGGTTCACTTATTTATTTATTTATTCTTAGGGGAAGTACTGGGGATCGAATACAGAACGTCATGCACGTTAAGCGTGTGCTCTGTCACTTGAGCCATACCCTCCCCAGAATCCTCCCCATTCTTTTTTTCCCGATCTATTTACTGCAGCACTCTTATTTCCTCATAATGACGTGTTGCTGAGGCCTCATGTTCTCACATGACAAAAGAAAACCAAAATCTGTTTGTCATCTCTTAAAGAATTGAGAATTGCGTACAAAAACCTTACATAAATTAACAGGATGAATAAATTTACATGTGTGAATGTAAACTGTTTTCCAACTCAAGGCAAGTAACAACCCTCGGTGTCCTGGCGGGAAAACATCGGGTAAGAAAGGAAAGTGGGTCGTAAGGCTCGGACCTTCCCAAGCCCGTCAGGTCGGCGAGACAGAAATGACAATGGTTCAGGACTCCTGCAGCTTCTAGAGAAATCCTGGAATCGGCGGCTCTTACATGTTAATACCCTACACAGATCAAGAGACTTGAGGTCTCCAGGATTCGCATCAAGCCAATGGATTTCTCTTTCACAAACTTGTTCTTACCTCAGACACTACAAGTGAGAGCCACATGTAAACAGGGGTTTAAGTCAAAGATAAGCACAGGGTATTAAACATATACCGAGGGAAGAGCTAACTCGGATACAAGGTCAAGATCAGCAAGAAGCTCTACCATCCAGGGCTGATGTCAGACACGAGCTTCAAGCAGCCCTCCCCATTCTAGATTCGAGGACCAGCTCTTTCCAGACTCGGGGTCTCTGCACATGCCCTTCTCGGCACCTGGGATGCTCTTCTTGCCGCCCTTCACCTTTCTAATTCCCATTTCACCTGGCAGATCTCAGTTTCAATGTCACCTTCACTTATTTATAGCAGCCTCTTTTTTTCCTTCATAAACTTCTCACGATTAAGAATATATATGTTTAATCCCGCCTCTGCCATTAGAGAGTAAATTTCTTGAGACCGTAGATAATGTGTATCGTAATAGACTGACTATCTAGGGCTTGGCACAATGTCTGGCCCAAGTGCCCTTCATTGAAATAAACCATAATGTCCAGCATGATGATAGGAAGAAAATAGGGTTTAAAATATAGTTACTCATGGAAAATTTCTGGTTGCCATTTAAATATACAAAATTAGGGATTTTCAAGTTTAGTGTCATATAACTGACTTCAGGAATTATTCACGGTAGCGTGAAACCAACAAAGGCAACTCATATTTCGTCCACGTTTCAGAGGACGTCCAATTTTCCTGTCCTCTTGTGGACTGGGGCAGGTTTGGGATCAGGGCAGGCTTGAGTTAGCTGCTTTTCTGTGGTGCTTTAACACTTGCCCTCTTCCTCACCTGGTGACATGGGTACTCACCAGCAGGCTGTGACACAGAGCATGGAAATGCTGCTGGTTTGTCTCCAGCTCATCCCAGTCCAGCTGCCAACAGCTGGTGGGTCTGAGGATGAATGGGAGTCCATATGTCAGTGATTCGCAGACCCCACTGGATTTCAGAGCCCTGGGAAAAGACAATGGCAGTGAAAGTCTCCTCAGTGATATCCAGAACCTTGACCCAGATCCACTTAAATTCAGCTTAAGTCCAAGACCCTACTGTGAAGTCCTTTAGGTTGGGGCCTGTGAATTACTCAGCTTAGTATGGCCAGCACCTAGCAAGGTCTCTGGCCCACAGCAGGGTCTCAGAGCCTGTTAAATGGCGCAGCCATCATGAGGTTTCATGACTCTGATGGGTGTTGCCTCTCCTGAGCTCATTCTGTTCCATTCACTCCTGCTGCAGCAACCGTATTACACAGCAGTATGTTAACCATCTGCATCCCAGACCTGGCTTTTTTGTGGCAAAATGCTGACAGAAGATGCATTTCAGAAAAGGATGCACTTAAGAAGGTTCCCCAGCAGCATTCATGGTCAAGCTTACTCAGGTACCTGTACATGGGCATGTGATAGGATCTAGGAAACAGTGAAAGTGGTCTTTGCCATCCTTGCTAATTCCACCCTGGCATTTATTCTCTTGGAAGCAGGAATTCTAGTACTTAAAGAAATGGGAAGGTGGAGTAGATCTTATGTACCACTTGCTCCTTGAGGGTCAGATCTCTGTCCTGATGTCTAAACAAAGTAGGTACTCAATAGCACTTACTGAACGGATAAACATCTTTCTGCTGATCTTGTTTTTCTCTGCATTCAGAGACTTTCTGGATTTTCAGTCCTCATCCAGACCTCAGAATGTCCTACTGAGGCACATCTCCCACCATCTCCTCATTCAACTCCACACACTGAGCAGACTGACCTTGCTCTTTCATACCCATACCCGCCGTTGCTGCTTTGGAACTGACCTCCTGTTGCCCGACACCTGGGGATGCCCTCTATCTCTGGACTTCCTAGTTCTGGAACCCATAAGAATAAGCATTTGCATGGAATGGAACATACTTGATCACCCGGAGCTTGTAACGAGACGCTGACGACTGGGAAGCCATCTGGTAGAGTGTGATGAAGTCTCCTTTTGGGTCATCCATCCGCAGGGAGCCACCAGCTGTGCCAGGGAGCAGGGACGGGCTGAGAAGTCGCTCTTGGAGATCACATTTCAGGCACACTGCAATGAAAAGCAGTACTGGGGGAGAGACTGTTTGTCCCAGGTAACCTGAGGCTATATATACGGTTAAGAGAGAACACCTGCCACACATTCTGCCCTCACCAGGCAAGTAGCGGCTGGGAGGGGAGAGAGGAAAGTACAATTGGTTTGGGAAGGCAGAGCAGGTCTGGAACAGTATTGCTCTACACAATAGGAGACTTATTTTCTGGGTCCGACATGATTCTTATGTTTTACTTCTGGGTTGGCTGAGCAGCTCATGGTGAAAGATCTGGCTTGTGATGGAGTCTGGGAGGAACACGTGTCCTCCGCGGTAGGGGCAGCTAACACTGCAACAGGCAGGGCCTTCTGGTAATCACAGAAGGAAATTTTGCCTCTGCTGATTCCCTGTGGCTCAGCTTTGGCAAGACTTCAGGTTAGACGAGGGAAGAGCAGAGAAGCAGAAGTCAGGTGGTCAGCTGATAGCTACCGTTTCTGTGTGAGCACTTCTAGGGACGTTCGGGGGGAGGGGGAGGGGAGGGGTAAGTTCCTGAAATAGCTTAGGTTTAATTCCCCAAATGAATGGAAACTTCTGGGCCTTGGAGCATCACCGTGGCAACAGACAGTAAGTAGTTCTGGGGGGGCTTCAACTATGTGTGGGTTATTCACGGAGGATTTGTACTCTTGTATTAAGCTTCAGCTCCAACAGGTGTATTCACATCACTGTGTATGATGTTCTGTTGTGCTAGGCTTGAATCCTTGATACTACGAAGGTCTTTAATAAAATATGTATCAGATATGAATACTATTAACAAACTAGGAATGTATGAAAGTTGAGTACTTGCGAGAAGGCTAGAGGTTGATGTCAGTGATTTATGAAATGACTGTAGTAAGTGCAACATGAAGTAAAAACAGAAGTAGAAATAATGTAGGGGAAAAAATAGGATGTCAGAATAGATATCAGCTCTTGCTGGCCCTCCTGGGAGCAGCAATCAGACCTAGACATGAATTCGGGGTGAGACAGCTCTTGGCTCTTGGAGTGGCAGTCAGCAGGAGGGGCTCTGCCTAGGACTCCAGCTGCCCCTCATTTCCTCTGTGCCTGACTTCTCGGTTGTTGGGTCCCTGGGCTTTAGAACCAGACAGCTGTGTTCATCTGGCTGAGGCTCTCAACTCTGCTTGCAGTAAGAATCACCTAGTGGGCTTGTCAAAGGTACTGAGGCCTGGGCCCTACTCACAACAACGAAACAGGGATCTTTGGGACTGGAGCTGTTTTCGGTGTTTTTAAAAGTTCCTCATGTGATTCTTCCTGCAGCTAGGGCTGAGAACTCCTGGAACTGTAATCTCAGCAGTGTTCCCAAAGCTGGGAAAGATGTTTTAGCAGGCAGGGAATGAGTCTAGAACCATGTATGCTTCTCACCACGCAGAACCCATGTGCAGAGGTGGCAGGTCCCAAACTCAAAGAGGTAACACAAGACACTCATGTGGGGCAGACTGTGCACTCTGTCAGAAAGAGGCCTCTGAGGGAAGTCCCTAGAGAGCGGGTTAAGGGCCTGAGGCAGCTACAGAAGCAGGTGGTGTTGGATGGAGACCCTTATAAGGAGAAGTCAAAGTGAACATCTGAGGAGCAGTCCTCAAAAGATTCTAAAGTAGGAGACTTCAGGGGTTTTGTTGTATTTTGTTATGTTTTTCCTGTAGGGGGTCACATTTCTAGAAATCCATTGTGCATCAGTTTTTTTAAACAATGGATAGCTATAGTATGATCTTTATTGTGCTCGTATAAACTCGCGTGTGTGTCCCACCCACCCCAGAGGAGGCCTGCTTCCCTGGATCTCATTCCACCTGTGCCTGAGCATCTGGATTCCAGTGAAGACCTCCTGGGCAGAAAAGTCCAGATCTAAGTTCTACCACCCACCCTGAAGACCTGTGGATTTCTGAAAAATGACTGCAGATAAACATTCTGGCTCTGGCTGGTGCTGAAAGCCATGGAAAAATAGAGGGCAAAGCAAAGAAATTCTCAACAGTACCATGGGCAAACGCCATGCAACAGTGGAAGAAGGCTAGTGGCAGGAGTTCCTGGCTTTTGATGGCCCCAGCCCTCCTAATGAGATAAGTGCCCAGCAGGAGGCAGACTCTTGGTTCAAAATTGTCCAGCACAAGGCAGGCTGTGTAGCTGGTAAGGACCCAGGCTCTGGAGGTGACAGACCTGAGTTTGATGAATGTCCTCTGGACTGAAGAGTAGTCAAATGCACAAAATGCACAAAATACAGATTTCTAGTCCTAGGGGTTAAGAATGGGTTCTGGAGTTGACTGGCTTCGAATTCTGGCTTGGCTAAGAATTTTCTGTGCAGCCCTGGGGGAAATGTTTAATTTCTCTAAGTTTCAATTTTCTCTGTAAAACTGGGATAATATTACTTTTATTGGTTTTTAAGACTTCCTTTTTCTAACTAACATCTCTGTATGTATCTCTTAATCACCATTGACTGGGCAGATAATCTTCGTCTTACTACTCTACTCACTAAGGATAAAATATATTTATAAGTGATAAAAAAGCACTGTGTCACATTTAATTGGCAGCGTTTTTCTTTCTTAGTGGTACATAAAATAATGGTGTATCTTTTCATTAATAGCATCTTAGATTCAATGACATATGGTTACAGTACCTGTCTCATGTTGTTATGAAGCTGAAATGGGATAATGCAGGGAAAGGAATTAACACAGTGGCTGGAAGAAAATAGATAAGTGAATTCCAGAGGATGCGACTAGGAGCAATTGGTACTATTGGCCTTGAAGACAGTAAAATCAAGGTTAAGTTGCTAAATGCATCCGGGGCCCTAGACTGAAAGTGGGGCAAGGGTGGGGTGGGGTGAAGGGTGGGGGTGGGGAGGGAGGGAGAGAAAGAGCCAGAAGGCTATCCCCAGAAAGCAAGCGCCAAGATACGTCTTTCCTTTGGGGGTGGAAGTCTATACCCCTTTTTCTCATTGAGCGCCCCCTCCTAAAGGGGAAGACACAATTTAAGTCTTCTCTTTGGAGCTGGGCCCTAAGCCGACCACGAAAGGGGGTGAACTCTAGAAATGGCTTTGTCCTATGGTCTGGTGGGACCTGAACTAAGCATCACTGCCAGCCAGAGCAACAGCCAGGACCTCGCTGGCCTCGGGCTTTGCCTCTGCAGGTGCTTCGGTTCCCCTCAGTTTGGTGTCTCCCTATTGAAAAGTCCTCGATTTAATCTCCACTTACCTTTGGTTCTTTTCCTCTCCTCACGGGCCCTGTTGATATTGCCGAGGTACCACCTTACCTCTAATTATAATGTCGATAATGTCTGCTGCATCAAAAGTGAAAGACTGAGAAAATATAGGACTCATTGTGCGCTTATGCAGTGTAGCTGATGCCCTGTTATTGGGGTATTTCAGTCTTTACGCTGAAACTAACTAGCCCTTGCTGTCTGGGCTTAATTAAGTTCAGTTTTGTAACTGTGGTCACTTTTTAGAACTACTCTTCTTACTCCTCAATGCCTACACTGGACAGCCTCATCCAATCCTCCTCCAACCCCTAAACTTCAACTACTCTGTATTCTGGGGATCTACCAATCTAGAGTCCTAATTGTAGACTGGGATAACCATAATCTATGTAATACGTCTTTTGTGGGGGTGTGTACTTGGATTATCTCCGGCTCTGGAAATGTTGCTGAGACACCGTGAAGGAAGAAGAAGGTGGACGTGTTCTTGGTCTGTTCCACTGTTATGTAGCCAGGCTTTGAAGAACATCTCCATGCTGACAACATCATTGTCTACAGTCTGAAGGTCAATGTCAGTTCCCAAGACAGAATTCTCTGCAGAAGAAAGGGACGCAGTGGTTAAAGTGTTTGACTGTTTAACTGTAAATTTTGAAAAATATAAAAATTTAAATGCACCCATCTTTTGTACCCATCAACTTTTACCTCTAGATATCCAGCCTAGAGACATTCTTGGATAGCACACACACAGACTCATGCGAAGGCGTCCGGTACAGCATTGTAATAAAAACAGATAATCAAAATTCCAAACAGGAAGCAAATCAAATGCCCATCATTAGGGGAATGTTGAAATACATTATGGCACAAATGATGGAGTATTAAGCTATTGTTAACAAACAAAGTAAAGCTAAATGTACTGACGTGGAGAGTCAGGAGATAGTATGTGAATAAAGAAAGTTCTAGAAGAAGATGTATAGTATGAGCCTATTTATAGAAAAATAAAACTATTGGCCTGAGTACATACATATGTATGGAAATGCCTTTTACAAAGCTCTGGAAGGCTACCATCAAAGTGTTAATAGCGGACAGGAGTAAAACATTCTACAGAAAACATGTAAAAAACATTTTACAGAAACAGACTCAGCCATAGAATACAGACTTGTGGTTGCCAGTGGGGACAAGGTTAAAGGGGTAAGCTGGGAGTTTGAGATTTGCAGATACTGACTGGTATATATAAAATAGATAAGTTTATACTGTATAACACAGGGAAATATATTCAATATCTTGTAGTAGCTCATGGTGAAAAAGAATATGAAAATGAATATATGTGTATTCATGTATAACTGAAGAATTGTGCTGTACACCAGAAATTGATGCAAAATTGTAAACTGACTATATAACTCAATAAATTTAAAAAATATTAGCAAAAAAAAACCACTTTAGGGTACAAAAACAGCCCCCAAATAATATAGCAATGCAAATTAAAGACAATTAACAAGGGGGCCTTCAGTTTTATGTTGTTGTTTCACAGTGAAAATGTATTCAACTATTACTGCTGTTATAAAAATTAAATTTTAAAAAGA